GGGGGGGGGTCAGGATCTTCTTCCCCAGCGCTTGAAAACGCTCCCTTTGGGGGGGGGAGGACTACAGCTCTCAGAATCCCCAACCAGGGCTCACTGGGGGTTCTGGGGGTTGTAGTCCCAAATGGGATAGAGAGGGCCCGTGGGCTGGCTCTGATCGCCCCCCCCCACACTCACACACACCCGGACCCCTGCCCGCCCAAGGCAGCCTTCTCCCCTCGCCCGCCCCACGGGATCCTCCCGCGCCTGTGGACGACAACTCCCATCATCCCCAGATGAATAAGGACGATTATGGGAGTCCCGGACGCCCCCACCTCTCCCCAGCTCCCCGGCGCCGAGGGGGGGGGAGGCTGTCCCTCACCTCGCTTCGCTTCCCGCTTCGCTTCGCTTCGGGCCGTGTCCACGACGCCCACCCGCGACTCCGGACTCGGAGCGCCGCCTCACCCAGGCGACGGAAGCGCCGGGTCTCCGAGTGCGCATGCGTCAGCAACTGCTCTCTTTCGCCCCGCCTCCCTCTCCCCTCCTCCAGGCGATTCTGCCGCGGAGCATGCTGGGGGTTGCAGTCCTTTCCTTCCCGAGGTCTGGGGGTGGGCTCTGCTCGTTCAGCCAAGGCACACAAAGTCATGAGCAACCTCCAGTTCTTGTGTAGAGATGGTCATAGAAGGGAGGGAGTCCACGCCCTGGCCCACGACTTATGTTTTCTTCAGGATGATGGCTAATCCAAGTGGAGGTTGATGACTCAGAAGTTCAGGGGGGCAGTGAATCCATGCCATGTTTTACTCAGAATTTACAGACGCTCTCCAAGGTGCTGGAACCTGGTTGAATTCCGTTGGCCCCCCTTCTAAGTGACATGTACATATATAGGTTTGAAGTCTTCATTCTCATTCTTAAAGTTCATAATCAGAACTATAACTTTAGGAGGAATAAGTTTATGTGCTTAATAATGTACTCTGCGTGTTGGAAAAATGGGATGGTCATCTGTAAAGGCTCACAAGGAAATCCATCCATTTGTGAAAATAACGTCCACCTTAATTTAGACAAAACCTGTTCATTAGAACCTAAAGTGGATAAAGTTACTATGATATAGTCGTCGTCATCATCATCATCATCATCATCATCATCGCCATTTTAGAACTACAAAGATGGAAGGGACCATCATCAAGCCTAGCCCTTGACAAGGAGGCACCGTTGGGGAATCGAACTATCATCATCATCATCATCATCATCGCCATCTTAGAACTACAAAGATGGAAGGGACCCAATAGGTCATTGTGACAACCTGATGTCCCGCCTTCCACTCCCCATAGGATGGAACTTTCCCTCCAGACCCATGAGAGACAGGTTCCATCAGTGCTGTATGTGACAGTCATCAAGCCCAGCCCTTGACAAGGAGGCACCGTGGGGGAATCGAACTCCCACCCTCTGGCTCTGTTGCCAATTGCCCCTAAACCACTGAGTTATGCTGTTCAGCATAAATATTAGAAAGGCAATAGGAGTCCCTTATCCGCATGATCAGTATCTGCTGATTCACTTATGCATGATTTGAAGATACAGTATTAAAAGAAAAATTTATTTTATTTATTTATTTAACTTATATGCCGCCCACACTACCCGAAGGTCTCTGGGCGGCTTACAGCATTTAAAATACAATAAAAAGGCAAAATAAAAAATCCCGTATAGTGTACAGGTATTTCTAACAAGTAAGTTACCAGAACTGGCCACTAGAGGGAGACAGAGAGCATGCTATGTACCAGAACTGGCCACTAGAGGGAGCCAGAGAGCATCCTATGTACATACAGTACAGTATTTGCAATTACTGTACAGTAAGTGTATTGCAGCATCCATGCGGGGCTTGGAACTAATCCCCTGGGAATACTGGGGAATCCTACTGTACCTCTTTATAAGAAAGAGATCCGAGTAACAAAGGCTAAGAACCACTGCATTACAGTACAGTATTTGCAATTATTGCAGCATCCATGTGGGGCTTGGAACTGTGAATATGGGGGTCCTACTGTACCTCTTTATCAGAAAGTACTGTCACATAAAATAAAATAAATTTTGGGTGTGTTATGTCCTGACTGTCAATCTAAAGCCAAAGTCTTGTTGCCAAGGGATCCACGTGGAAAGAAAAGAGGCCAAACTTCCCAAAGGCAAATTCGTCTAATTAACAAGACTCTGCTCAAATTCTTCTTTGCCTTCCAGTCAGATGGCTGGGCATGTAACCAGTTGAATAAGCGGCCGTTCATCAATCAGCAGCAATCTGCTACCATGAGTTGCATCATTTCCCTTCCACCGGCGTAATGGCGCAGTGGGATTTGGGCCAAAATGGTAAAGGCTGCCACACCACCTTGCATTTTAAGGACGGAAAGAGGTGTCCCTTGAGTGGGTCCACCCAAGCTCTAAATTACCTTGAACCCTCCTTTCTGTCTTGCTATGGGCAGAACCAGAATCTGGAAGTAAATATTTGCAAATAACTGTTTAGAATTAACTAGTTACTTGTGCATAATTTCTGCCACAACAAAGTGACATTGTGATTGTGGCGTGACCAAGGAGAATCTCACTCCATTTGCAATGTAATTTAAATTTTTCAGTAGATCAGTGGTTCCCAACTTTGGGTCTCCAGGGTGTTCTTGGACTAAAACTCCCAGAAATCCTGACCAGCACAGTGAGTGGCGAAGGCTTCTGGGAGTTTTCATCTAAGAAAACCTGGGGACCCAAGGTTGGGAACCATTGGAGTACATTAAACTCTGTTGTGAAACTTATGCCTGCAGCAGGGTGATGACTTCACCAGCAGGGGGCAGTGGTTGGCAATCAAAAACATCCTCCTCCCATCTCGTGGCTACCATGGCTTTCATGTGATGAAAGGGATCACATAGGTTTTTGAATGTTTTTAATCCCAAATGAATTTTCTGTTATGCTTACCGTTTGATGTGCAATGTTTGGGGTTTTAATTTTTACTTGTTTTAGCAGCATGAGCTTCAGTTCCCTCAAAGCAGCCTGCAAAATGATACAGAAGACAGAAAGAGAGAGCGAGAGGGAGGGAGAGACCATGGAATGGGGTGAGGAAGTTTGTAATTACGAAAAATTGCCCCCTGCCAATGATATTGTCACACTTTCATAGGCATAATTTATGTGACAGGATTTCAGCCCGTAATATTTATTGTTAAAGTACTGCTTCAGGTTAAGTGTCTTTTCTGCTTCAGGTGGCAGCAGTACTTTAGCTTCCTTAAAACAAATAAGCATCCCTTTTGGGAAATGGAAAAGAGTCTCTCTTTCAAAGACGCAACCCTAACAACAACTACCTGTTTAAACTCCTGGGAACAGTAGCTAACTACTTTTTCAAGGCAGCTCTCCGGGACCTGGGCAGGAAATCATGGCTTCTCCAAACAGCCCCAAAACGGTTCGAACAGAAGGAAGACGAGCCGGAGAACGTGCATTTTAGCAGAGAGAGAGAGATTTCTTATCTTCCTTCGCAACCCCCTGGCATGAGTTGTGGGTCTCCAGCGGAAGGTGCTTGGCACCACCGAGCGCCCCTTTTCAACAGAGCGTCCTTGGGCTGCTCTCCCGCGCCCCTCTCCTGCCTTGCCATGACGGCCACAGCCGCGGCTGCACTTTCCCCCCTCGCAAAGCAGATTAACGCTGAACAAAGGCCATTTTGTTCTAGCGGTGTGGGGGGGAAGCTCAGAAACCTGCTTCTGGGACAGGCGTCCTCTTGTGGATGGGCTGTGGTCAAGGGACAGTGCCAACGAGAATCCCAAGAAGGACCCATGACTGGGTGGACCAGTCCAGTTCAGAGGTCAGGCCAGGGTTCGAGCCATGCCCCATCCAATCCCCGTTCTCCTTCTCTCTGCTGGTTTTCATATCCCTTAATAGAGGTGGAGAGCACAGATCCTGCCCCCCACCAAAGCCCAAAGATCCATGACTTGCCATTTAAAGGCTGACACATCTCCTGCCTGTTTTAAGCCGCAAATTGCCTTTTGTAAAAAAGCAGAAGTCCTGTCACTTAAAATGGAAGTGCCACCTTCTGCCCGCAACGGTTTGAAATGCTGGAATTTTTTTGGCGCCCTCTAAATTTTGGTGCCCTGGGGCAAAGTGCTGACAGCGCCATCCTCATTATGTCTTTGTGGTTTTCTCCCACTCTAGCTTTTCTCTCCTGTTTTGATAGACCTCAAGGTTGGTCCAAATTGGGGATGCTCTCATAAGGCTGGCCACAAGGGAAGCCCTCCGGCACCTTGGTGCCATTAATAAACCGCAGTTGGGCTCATATCAGGAGAAGCCACCAAACCCCCTTCGTATTCCACTCCATTTTTCCTGGGTGCGCCTTGTTGTTTAGTCGTTAAGTCGTGTCTGACTCTTCGTGACCCCATGGACCAGAGCACGCCAGGTCCTCCTGTCTTCCACTGCCTCCCGGAGTTGGGTCAAATTCATGTTGGTCGCTTCGATGACCCTGTCCAACCTTCTCATCCTCTGTCGTCCCCTTCTCCTCTTGCCTTCACACTTTCCCAACATCAGGGGCTTTTCCAGGGAGTCTTCTCTTCTCATGAGATGGCCAAAGGGTTGGAGCCTCAGCTTCAGGATCTGTCCTTCCAGTGAGCACTCAGGGTTGATTTCCTTCAGAATGGATAGGTTTGTTCTCCTTGGAGTCCAGGGGACTCTCAAGAGCCGCCTCCAGCACCACCATTCAAAAGCATCCATTCTTCGGTGGTCGGCCTTCTATATGGTCCAGCTCTCACTTCCATACATCGCTACTGGAAAAACCATAACTTTGACTATGTGGACTTTTGTTGACGAGGTGGTGTCTCTGCTTTTTAAGATGCTGTGCCTTGGTGGCCTTCAAAGCGGGTTTGCTCCGGTTTGCCGCCAACCTGCAGCAGAAATCGCACCTGCAGGTTACCTGCAAACCTGTCACGCCGGCCACAGGAGCCTTGGCTGTACTTCCGAGCCACGCACGGCAGGTGAAAGCAAAGAGGAGAAGGGAAGAGAGAAGGAGGGAGGGAGAGATGCAAGAGAAGGTTCTCCTTATTTTCTTTCTGCTCGCATGTTGAAACCACGGGACAGGTAAAGGCCTTCGGCCAAGGCAGCTACAGCCAAATCATCATTACTGACTTCCTCCTAACTTAGACAAGCTCCCCCCCCTCCATTCTTAAAGGGTAATAAAATGCTTCAGCAGAAAACAACAGATCTCTTCTGGTGTGAGTTGCCAAACCACCCTCCAGTTTCTATCAGCAGCCTGGGGCAAACACCTTTCGCTTTTCTGTTCCTCTCTCTGGAAACCTGATCCATTCTCCCGGGAAGGATGTATCTTTAAAGCAGTCCTGCCTGAGTTTCCCTCCTCTCCTTCCTTCCACCTGCCGATGAATGGGGACCAAGATGAGCGAGGCTCGTTCCCTGACCCACTAGCCACCGGCAAGGATTCTAACTGCTGGGCTCCTCCGTCCCTGGTGGGCGCATGCTTCCACAGGGTGATCTCAAGGGCAGGATGGAACCGCACACTTGATGGATGAGGGACGTCTCCTCTCCATGCCTCCGGGTCCACTGCAAGAAAAGGAGGAAGAAGAAAAAGGGGAAGAGGAAGAAAAGGGTTGGCGTCTTGGCAGCAAGAAGGATTTCTCTCTCTTTGGCTTTGTTTGCTTGTTGTTTTTAATAATCCCTGGCTCACAAACGGCTTCTCTCCTCTGCTTCTTCTTCAAAGATTAAGTTTTGGGAATGTCATCCTGGCGTGTTTTTGGAGAGGAGAAGACAGAGCAGTGAGTGGAAAGGTATGTAATTTTTGTAACACCTCTTAGCCAGCATGAACCCTGGGGAGATTCTGGGAGCTTTACGTGCAGAATAGTGGATAACAACAACAACAACAACAATCATCATCATCATAACCCCTTGAAAGTTTCACAGTCAGCAAATTAGACAAAGGAGGATTCACGCACAAGGTTAACCTCCTTGGTGCTTTTCTGTGCCTGGTGCTTTGAAATGACACTTTCGGCCCCGACTTTTCTTTCAAAACCATTTACGCTTTTAATAATCACTGTGAGTGATCTGTCCATGGAAAAATCCTATTGGCAGAGTTTGGTCAGCCAGAAAGCATTGTTTGTTCCCTAGCATCTTGACAGAGGCGACCGGATGGGTCTGGAAAGCAGATTTACCCGGGTAGAAGGTTTGATCCTACATCTTCCACTTTAGAATGGGTGACCGGATGGGTCTGGAAAGCAGATTTACCTGGGTTTGATCCTACATCTCCGACTTTAGAATGGGAATCCAGTGAGTATTGATACCCGAGTACTAGGTCTGGCAAGGGTGCTGCATTCTTTCTGATCACTAGGGATCAGCATCCAGACTGAATATTTCTCCCTCCCCTGCCTTGTTAAAGGAGTACACACTGGGTTTAAGATAGGTACGTTTCCCCAGAGAAGTATGTCTACAGGAGGTCAGACCCAGATGGAGAAGGATGTGATGAATAGGTCCAACGAAGGAAGGTTTACAGAAATGGATATATTTAACCTGGGGAAAGAGATCACTAAGGGGCGATATCTCTGAAGAGTTGACCGAAGGGAGAAAGGAGGAGAATTAACCCCCTTTCCTTTCAGAAGGTAGCTCCTGAACCCATGGGTTGAAATCCCAAGAAAACTGGGGTTCAACTAAACACCAGGAAGATGTTCCGATTGGGACATGAGGTCCAAAAACTTGTTGCTTAGCATAGCTGATTGCAGAGTAGGCCCACTGAATGAATGGGATTTAGTGAGTCAGCTTCTCCATACATTCTGATAATTCAAAGGGGTCTACTCTAGTTGTGACTTGCTGTGCAGCTGCAGTTATAGCTGGCTGATTTGATTCAATGGGATGGAGGGGCCTCCCCAAATCCCTGTTGATTCAATGGGCCTTGCCTAGGGCGATTCACTACACTAAGCAGCAGGATTCTAGCCCCTGAATCTACAGGAACTTAGCGAGTCCACACATAGGTAAGTTCAATGGATTCAGTAGTTATACAGTGCTCTCATTGGGGTGACCAAACGTCAGACTAGATTCTTTGTGTTTTTACTCTGATAGTTCTCTGAAATATCTCCATCATCCTTCCATCCCATTGCAGTGTTGCATTCAGATAACAGCAATAGAGGTCTTGATCCCAAACAGCTGGTCTCTTCAGTGAAAATATTGCTTGATTACCGCCAGAGCGTGGAAATGTGAATTTTATGGACTATAAATCCCAGGATCCTCCCTCAACATAGACTCAGACCATGCTGACTGGCAGACTCTGGGATCCTTAATCACCCCCAAAATCCACATTTCCAAGCTCTGGTCAATAATGTGGACGTAATAAGAGTTTCACACTGTGGGCGCCCAGTTTTCTTTTATTCTCCGCCATCTGCACACGGATGCTGTGGGGAGGTTTCATAGTCTTCCTGCTATACAGATGGGTAAACTGAGGCTGTGCAAATGGGAGAGCACAGGATTTGCACTTTGGGTTCAATCCTGCAGAGGCAGCACCTTCAGTGAAACAAGCCACTCTGCTTGGTGGCTTTTTAACCAACGGCTGTATGCTGAGATGAAAATGCATCAAAGCATTCGCAGGCGGCAAAAGAGCAAAGGGACCTCCCACGCGGGATCTTGGGCCATTCAATGTGGCATCCACGTCACTTCCTAAAGCCCTCTTTGATTATTTACACCATTTCTGCCCTTTAGCCCCCACCCCTGAAAGTGCTCAGGCAGCTTTCACGGATTAACTGTGAGACACTCCTTGCTTTCAAACTTTCCCTGGAAAGGACACAGCATAAAAGGAAAGAGGGTCAGGGTGGAGGAGGAAAAACAACAGCAACTCAACTCAGACAAAGCTGTGCTCTGCCTTGCCGTTCCTGGCGGCCGTAATGCAGCTGGAAGTTGTTGGTCATACAACAGGAGTTCAGGGCCAGCTTGGGGTGGGAATCCTTTGCGGAACGGATGACATCGGTGGGCTTGACTTTGGCCTACTGCATACCATTGGGTTCTGGGCCAAAATGCTGAGTAGAGTAGAACAGGGGCCAACTCCATTTCTGTTCCCCTCCAAGTATTGTGTGGCAAAGAGTCACATCTTTGATGCTTCCAGAGAGTGGCGTCATATCTTATAAGAGAGTGGCGTCATATCTTATCCCCTTCCTGTCCCTCCTCAAGCAACCTGGGAGCAGCTTGTTCTAAATTAGCATGTCTCCCCAATCCCCCAATTTAATTTGATTTTTATTTTACCTATATTTCATATACAGTAGGACCCCTGTATTCATGGGAGATTGTCCCAGCACCCCCACCCCCATGAATTTTGAAAAACACAGATTACAGTACTGTATTGCAAACTCTGGTCTATAGCATCTAGTGGCCAGTTTTGGTAACATCTTCGTTAGAAATACATATTTCTGGGAATTTTTCTTCCCATATTTTCTGACTGTGGATAAGTGAATCAGCAGATACTGATCCCGTGGGTGCAGGGCTCCTGCTGTATATACATAATTTTAAATTGTGCAATGCCTTGATACAAATGAATAAATAAAGATTAGCAAATTATGGATTGAAACGTGTGAAGGAGAGGGGGGAGGGCATAAGCATGAGGCAGGCAAATCCCAAAGTCCCACAGCTCATAGATGCACCTCTGGGGCCATGCACACTCTCATGTACCTCAGAACAGAAAAGGGAAGGATTTATTAGCAGCAATCTGCGACTGACAATGACATCATTACCATTATGGAGGCGGAGCTGTGCAACAGGATTATGGCCGAGGTCCCCTCTGAAAATTCAATCCAATTCAGAATTGGTGTGTAATTTCTGCCGCTCTAAATTTAGGTTCCCAGTATTGGCTGTCTGGCAGGTGAGGTTCAGCAAAGGCGTGGTCATTCAGCCAGCAGCACGGCAGAGGTCTGGCAAAGCTTGCCGAGGATTGCAGAAAGCTTGTGCGGTTTGGCTTTTGGAAGGTGGCAGCAATCCGCCATGCCTTCGTGGAAATGAAGGTGCCACTATACCTGGCTGCAGCATGTACAAGAAAAAGCCTAGGAAATTGAGTTTCCAAATCAGAAGTTTTAGAACTAGCTGTCCCCGTATGACACATCTCAGTCTTCCACCCACTCTTAGCAAGAGCAGTGGACAAGAGATTCGGAAGGTTCTCCATGTGGCAGAGATCCCACATGGGGATGCTCAGAAAGAGGAGGAACAAAATCCGAGCAAACCTGTACACCTTCCTGTAGCCAGGAAAGGTACATGCTGCTGGCTCAAAGAGCCATCTCATCTGCCATCATCCTGCTTTGCTCAGCGAATGGCAGAGGGGGGGGAGCAGGCAGGGCCATTCAGGACAAAAGCTGACATTATTTGCCGAGAAGTCTCGCACTATGATGAATGAATGGTGTATTCAGCCACAGAAACTTACGGACTAGATTATTTTTCAGCTTCCGAGATCACCGCGCTGTTTGTCTGCTGCCGTACAGCACCCTTGCACCCTAAGTGGGGGGAAATTCTGGGTCTCCGGGTGCGACTTGACAGCATGTCCTGAAACTTTAGTCCTCACCCTTGATTACTGAACACAGAAAAAACAAGATATACATAATGGCCCCAAATGCCTGCAAATGTCACAAATTAAGAAACCAGTGTAGATACAATTTGCTGCAGGCCAAGCCGTGAGATGCTCCTTTGCCAATCGATTTCCACTTGAACCAGGCATTTCTGTGCAACACGTAAATGCACGCCGTTGCGGGAACGTTGTGCAAACATGAGGAACCTGCCGACCAGATGCAGAGGCTCTTGCATGAGTGGATCTCCAGAGGATTGATCCAAGCTCCTTTTAAAGCCATTGAAAAGCATCTCTTTTTATTTCACGAAGCAAATTTGGTGAAACTAATTCTGCAGGGTGTGGAATTGGGGAGAAAAACCCAACCTTTACTTTGTTTTCCTTGAATGACTTGATACCTCCCCAAGTCCTAGAACTGTGTGAAAGAAAGACAATAATCTCTCGGTCCACTTCTGCACCCTCATAGCCTCCCACCTCTGTTGAATTCGGGGCCCTCCTTGGACCAGAACTGCTCTGATCCAGAAGGGGGAGTTTATCATAATGGGCGGGAGTGCCGTCTGAGTGTCAAGGCATGCAGTCCTTTGGGTAACGTTGGCCCAATCATTTCCTCTCAGCATAACCTACTTTGTTGTGAAAATAACTGGGGCAGAAAAGAGCTATGAAGACCTATTTTCAATCATCAGAGAAAAGGCAAGCAGAAATATAAATCCAGGAGGATTCCCGTATCAGCGGTTTCACTTATCCGCAGTCTGTAAATATTAAAAGGAAAAAAACCAGAAATACATGTATGGTACTTCCATGATGTAATTACCAGAACCGGCCACTAGAGGAGCCAGAGACCATGTTATGTACTGTACAGTATAGTATTTGCTTTTATCTGTCGTTTTTGGCATCCATTGGGGAGAGGACTTGGAACAGATCCCCCGTAGACACTGTACTGGGGGGAGGTCCTACTGTAATGTCTAACTATAAAAGAGAAAGTGAGTTAAAATAAGAATTAGGAAACAGGGATGCTCATGTTCTGTCATCCTTTCCTTTTCAGGTGTGGCTTTGTGGTGGTTTCTTCAGGACACCCTTTGTGAGAAGCAGAAATGAACATTGGTCTTTTTCCAGGACACAGGACGAGACGCCAGAGCCCCGGATTTTGGGTACCACGTGCCTGCCTAATCTTATCCAGGCTGGGTCCTCTCCTCTTCCTCTTCCCGACAGGTGAGCAGCTCCTTTAGAAGGGAGCTCGGCGGCCAGAAGGAAAGCTAAGTCTCTTTTTTTATTTACAAAGATTGGTAAACCACTTTCAAAGCAGGATGACATAGTCCTATAGCATATGCTGCACTCCAGATCAAAATGCAATGCCCAGAGCACAGAAGTAACTAATTACAAGTCATATAATTACCCAGATCTCGCTCCATTGTGGGTAACAAATAATGCAGGAAGGCATTGAAAAGTTGCTCTACACTATCTAGGTATAAAAAGTAACAGTTAGTTACTTTTGAGAGTTGCTTCTGAATGGCATTTTAGCAGATGTTTTTAAAGGAATGTTTCCAGTTTTATGCATTCTGTTTAAAAATTCCATGCGGCAAAAGAAGCATTCTTATACTTTGTCTTTTTCTAAAGATTTCCAAGATGTAGTAACAGAATTGGCCAGTAGGAGGAGCCAGAGAGGATCCCTCTATTTTTACTGCCAATAACATGCATCCATAAGACGCACCAAATTCCTTGCACAAATAAAAGCAACGAAGACAATAATGGCAAGGGTCTCACCTTCTCAGACATGGCCACTGAGCCCCCCACCATCCACAGCTCCTGGTGGCCCAAGAGTCTGGGATCTGTGAGGTTGGGCAGATCATCCACCCTATCAAGCTCTGAAGGGTCCTGTTCATTGGGCTTGAAGACCCCTCTTCTGAGGCCATGTTTCCCTAAAATGGGTCTCATGTTGCTAAATGTTCTGCTCTGAACAGCTTCTGAATAAGGAAGAACAGAAAGAAAAGCAGGCACATGTTGTCCATTTGCAGCCCTGTCTTCAAGACTCAGCAGGTACCAGGCATTTTATCCCAGGTTTTTTTGATCATCTGCCGAGGACGGTTGGTGGGGCAAGATCGGAAGAGGTGGCTGAGGCAGGCAACGCCAGTTTTATAGGCTTTGTGAAGCCGCCTTGGGTTTTAGTCTGCACTTTATAGCATCTATTCAAAGGGCTGAAACTATTTCCAGGTTGGGGTGCTGCACATTGAAATGGTTCAGCCAATTGGATAGGGTCTGCTAAATTGGGATTAAAACCTGGGATAAAATCACAGCTCCTACAGTATTAGACCCGTTGGCT